CGTGTTGGAGCCAATCTCCCTGCCAAGGTCGCCAATTGTCGCAATTGCCTCAACCTCCACCAGTCTACCTCCTACTTTCGCCTCACTACCGCGACGGAACCGGGCTTCACCGGACCGCCATGGGCTGAGCATCTCCCACTGAATTCGGGACGAATTCTCTTGAGGAGGGGGAGTTGTGTAACAGAACAAGGATCCCCTTTGCCTCACCAGACGCCTGTCTCTGATGTCTTGTAAACATTGTTCACACCGTTACTGTAACTGGTTTTGTCACCAGTGTTGATCTTTTCTAGAAGTTTCTTAGCACGTGGGTCATTCGGTATAATATAAAGCCATACTGCCACACTCCCAGTCCTCACAATATCAATTACACTCTAACTGGGCTCTGTCGCGCAAGCTGACTGACTTCGGCACCTCTGCAGGATTACATATTATGTTCATTACCTGTGGGAGTATGATCTTTCTGTGGATCCCACAACTTGAGCAAATCTCGCAGCCACTCCCTTACACCGTATTCTTCTTGTGGCTCTGTGGGCTTGTATAGTGGTGACAAATTTACTCTAGTGAAGTCATGCCTTACAACAAGTGTTGCAAGACATTATTCTGCAAGGACTATGAGGAGATGCATGCACAACGATACGTGTGTGTATAATACTTCAGACTTTCACTTCTTCAGCTCCTCAAAGTTGCTTACATAGTACACATGGGAGATAAAATATTGGTAGCAGATATGCACTAATAGCCTCAGGCAATTTCATTGATCTATCTTAATGGTAGTCACATCTTCATACACATTGGTTTATAAGACGGTAATTGATGAGCTGGGAAATGGTTGCAATAACTGTCTGTCATTAGCTAGTTGAGACTCTGGGTAAATTGTAGGTAGCTTATTAGGCATTGCAGAATTTGACGCTCGATAACTTCTGATGCCTCCTCTGGTATGCAAAAAACGTCATTTGGGCAATGCATAATGTAGAGAACATGTGGAACTCAGGATAAAAACATGAGAGGCCAAGTGTTTCGTCAGTTCAACTGATAGAATACAGCAGGATTTCCGTAAATTCATGTGTGCCCATAAATTTTGAGAGCACCACTGTGTAGGCTAATGTGTACACGCTGTGCTTTTCTACATCCATTAGTGCTATGAGAAGGTGAGGGATGATTACCCAAACATATCAGCATTACAATTAGAAGAGCTATTTTGAGTTCACAAAGGTTCAGAAAAGTCCCAGTAAGCTATGTTGTTACATGTGTCTCTTTACAAAAAGATGCAATTTTATATAGAGGTAATGGGAACTGATAACTCTTATGGAAAACATTTTTTGGATAGGGGTCTCTTTACTAGGGTTTTAGGTTTTGCGGCAAAGTCAAAACAACACAGCAATGGCACACATGGTTGACCTAGCTGTACTACTAGAGGGTTGTTTTGAACCTCGTAATGGCCTGTATGTCACCCATTAATGGATGTCTGAACAACTTGGTAACGAGGTAGAGAGGTAAGGCAAGGCAAACAAGTCAACTACACCCAGGATAGCACTTTCTTTTCAAAGAAAGAGCTATCCTGGGTGTCTGCAGTCTAGGGGAGCAATCTACCGACTGAGCTACCAGGGCAACTCAGCTGGAAGGGGTTCGAATATACAACACAACACAACCTCAAACCACTGTGCTATGGCACAGTATACTCTAACTCTGTTCATAGGCACCATTGTCCTGAGGATGAAGATTGAGTTCCAGTTGCCCATGGCAAGAGTGGAACAGGAAAGACAACAGCACTTAAATGTGTGTTAATCTGAATATTGCCATTAAATGGGGCTACGTAAGAATAAAATACTGTGTCCTCATATAATTACTCCATAATTGTAAGGAAAAGGTAAACGCATGTCATCATGCATCGCTACTGCATCATACTTATACTATGCAGGTACACTTGCTTGCTAGTGGAGGTAGCATCAATTGTACGTCAGTATTACACAGCATAAATCCGTGTGTAGGTGGCTGCAGGCATGTAGCTGGGGGGAGGAATGTTAGATGTAGATGTGTCTGAGGCCGAAGAGTTCTGAAGCCCCAGGATCGCATACCGCCTCGTGGCCTGTAGTGTCAGCGCTAGAATAAACACGCACACACAGAGACAGACAGACGGACGGACAGACAGACCAACCAACTACTCTAACCCTCGCTGCACATGCGCGCAGAGGGTTAATAAGGGTGAAATGCTGGCACAGATACAACAGTGGAACCTCCGAAAAAGGGGCACAACGGGGCAAATGATTTTGTTCCTGGTAGAGAGGTCATCCCAATGCCCGGAGGTCAAACAATACACTAAGTATTAGCATGGGGTTGGAACAAATGTCCTTTGAAGAGAGGTGTCCCTGTCTTGGAGGGTCCCTTATAAGATGTTCCACTGTAGCTTCTTCACCGGGTCACCTCAAATTAATTCTTGCATCTCGCTCCATATTCATGCATGGTGGACTGATGAGTGTGTACGTCATGCGTAAGTCAGAAGGGAAATATGGATTGGTTCTGATTCGAACCCACCACCAATTGCATGCAGAGTGCAGAGTCATGGAACTGACACGCTAAATTCCGTCTTTACATAATACTCCTCTCTTCATCGTCCTCTTCCTCACTCACACACTCTTTCTCTGTCTTTATCTCCCTGTCTCCCTTCCTTCCACAGAGGAGGGCAGCCCAAAGTCGTGTGTGTCCCCGAGACGAGGGTCTGGAAGTGTGTCCCACATCCACCGTTCCACTGGTACCCACTGGCCTGGGGCAGAGCCCGAGACACCCTCCCCCACGGAGTGACCACACCCCCTCCTTTTCCTCTGTAGTTGACGACACATTGTGCATACTTTGTTGTCTTATGAGAACATTTTTGTGTAAATATGAGATATCCCGTGGTGTTTTGGGAGCAGCAATGTACGGTAGTCGGTAGGTGGTGTATCTAGGGGGACTGGGGACTAGCTGGTAGTCTTACCAGACACCCTGAGTATTAGATGGTGTATGACATACGTTGTGGTATTGATTAAAAGACTTGTAACTTGCCTATATAATAATAGGCTGGATCTTCTGACAATAATACAGTACTTTGTACTCTGATATAGTATGAAGAGTCACCATAAGGAGTTCACACGAAAAACAATGGTCTCAGACAATAAAAACATTATTACTTTTGAATGGACATATTGCTCTCTTCACTGCACGCCATGTATGTAAAAACCTACAAGACAAGTACGTTTATCGAATTAGAACTGGAAGGAGACAAGACAGGGATGACAATGCGTTTGGTTGGGGAGACATAGGTGCAACGTCACAAGAAATTGTTGCCACTTTTGAAAGTGGCAATCACTCTCTATTGTACATAGAAAGGACCATCTGTATAATCAAGCTAAAACTCCTGTGCCGAAGTAGCTGAGCTTACAAACAAATTTCATTGAATATAGCAGAAAGCACCCCATGAAGTTATGTCCGTTGGTATGTAGCCTTCGCCCAATGTATATAAGTACCATGCGTTTTGTTTAGTTTCCAGGAGCCAGGTCCTTTAACACGAGACAATGTTTTGTTGCGTTCGGGACAGCGGCTAGAGCTACGGCACTCTGTGTCTATAACGTGTCCGACCGCGCCGAGTGAACCCCGATGGTGGAATGACCGGGATTATGTCCCCTAGCCTGGGGTTTGAATGAGGGGGACTAATTGGCGAGCGGAAGCGAGCCAACCTATATTACGGGCCGATTTTTCTACACGACCAACCGCGTACGTCGTGTAAGTGCGCATGCGCGCCTTGTACGCGCTTCTTTTCACACACGGTGCCTCGCGATATGCGCCGATCGATCCAGCCAGCGAGAAAACTCACCTCCATTCCACGGCATGCGCTGCAATCTACTTCGGTGACTGACCGAGGCTGTACCTGTTTCCAATCTTCATGGTTCGAAGGTGCAACTTGCAAATAAGCTAGGATTTCTCGTGTAGATACTGGTGCATGCCAGCTGCCCGGTGGACCACGACTGACGAGCTGAAAGCGTAAGGTAAGTACCGTTCTGCTCATGACTTGCTCACCGTTCTGCCAATATACCGTACGCATGTAACAGGTATATCTGTCCTGCTTCACGAAGCTAAAGCTGTGCGCTGACGGCACGTTATGCAGCCCGGACATCGGGGGCAAATCGCTCCCGCTCGCCAACAATGTTCAACATTTTTAATTCTGTTGATAGTCGAACTATTCGTTTCGTACGCCAAATATTAGCTGCATTCCTTGTAGTAGCAATTGTGACGTATGCGTGACGCGGTCATCGCTAGTCCAATCATGGCCGTAGCAGGCGGTCCGGCCGGTCCGGTTTTGGCCGGACCACTTCTGGCTCAAATTTGAGGGCGTGGTCACATTTAGCGAGCGCTAGAGCGCCAGTCTGACATACAGCAACCTTAGCTTAACGAAAGCGCGCTTGCTCTCTGGCTGAAGTGCCGCGATGCCATGCTCCGATCGACCATGGCGCCATACCGTCGTCCAGCGAAACACGCACGCATACGTACGTACGTACCGGTCGACGGCCGGCCGCGCGCGTAGCGCTGCGCGTGCGCAAACTGGAACAGTACTAGTAGGCGAATGCATGGCATTTTTGGCGAGCGAGAGCGAGCACACAATGAATGACTGTCTCGACGGCAATTCGCCTTGTCTGATAGCTTCGGATATGTTGGAGCCTGGCCTGTTGCGTTTCCTCTGATTCCGCAGCACGTGTAGCTCTTGCTCGTACACGACTTCTCGCTAGTCGTGCTTCCCTTTCTTCCGCTGTTTCCGTGGCCAGGCGTTGCCTTGCCCGTTCCCTAGCACGCAGTCGCCGTCGAGAAAGACGAGCCTCTCTTTGCTCAGAAGTCTCAGTGGCACGACCTTCTTTTTCCTTTCTCGTCGACGACGAAGGGCATCTCTCTAGACTGTAAAAATGTGAAATGTTTTTCGGATAAAAAGAAGCGCGTGGATACTATAAATCCGCGCCGTTCGTATACTCCCGCTCGCCAATTAACCACACCTACTTCCTGGCCTGACTAGAACCTGCTACGAACCTGATAAAGCGCCCTTCTCGCGGACACTTTAATTAAAGTGGATGTTGGCGCGGCTGCTAGCATGACGGAAGGTCTGTTCTATCGATCCCCGCTTATCTTATCATAGACCTTTTTCTATACCAGAGGGTTCGAGTGTACCTCACCCGCCGGAAGAGACCAGGCCTAAAACATCAGGGGGAATGTCATCTGAGTCCAAAGCACTCCGTAAAAGTTATGACCAATTTATGAAGGGTGCAGACCCGAGCAGTTTAGTGGCGCCACTCTACAGCCAAGATTTGCTGACTGATGATGAGAAAGCAAGAGCTTTACTAGACACACAGACAAACCGTAAAAGGCTGGATGAGATATTCGATGCTCTTACCCGGCGCGTTGGAGTTGAACCAAAAGCATTCCTGCTAATTATGCAGACTCTCAAAAATGTACCGGCATTGAAACCGATGGGAGAGAAAATGCAAGGTATATTTAATAATTAGAAGGTATAATTGTGAGAAGTTTTGTTTCAAACCTGCAGAACTTTATAATGAAGTGGTTGGTGAATTTGGATGTGATAGCAGTAACGAGCATGCTATAGGAAGAGTTGAACCCTCTCATTCTGACTCAAACAGTTTGCCCCAACTAACATCCAAAGGTAGCTACATGCATTTCATTGCATATCAGTCTCAACATTATTGTTTTCTTTTTACAAAGCCAATCACCAAACTAAGTTGACAACCTCCACCTTTCCCCCTGAAGGTAAAAATTATTACAATAGTATTGCCTTTACCTACTCTCTTTATTTCTGTATCCTCTGACGTTCCAGCATTTTCTGTTTTTGGGACATCAATTCGGTGTGTTATAAAAATGTGCTTTGATAACTACAATAATTGTACTATCTTTCCAAAAGAAACCGTAGATATAGCGTGGTTGAGGGCCGACCACCTTCTCAGGGGTATGGTGAATGCCTTTTTAATAATAATCATAATACTATCGTTTATCATTACCCAACAGAAATCACAGACGCAGCGTGTCAACTACTATTGGAACAACAACCCGACCAGGGTATAATTATACATTATTCTCTGAGGTTAATCTTTAACTATACATTATCTTTTAACAGAAGTTCAGCATCAACTGAGACTACAACGATCACATTTTCGTATGTGCTTATGTAGATCTAAATTTTTAATTGTATAATAATTATTATTTTGTCTTAGTTTATCAGGCAGCAGTGGTCAAGGAAGTACTGCATCTGTTGAGATAACGACATCTACTTCACCGTGGGTTTTAATACTTTTCATTGCTCTTATCATTTCTTCTATCAATTTTGTACGATATTATGTTTACTTTGTTTAATTTTTTGCCTCTAGTGATTTGCCTTCAAATGTTACAAGTGTAAGTTGCTAGGGGGGAAACAAAACTTGTTGTAACTTTTTAACAACACAGAATACCCCAAAGAGTTATGAACATGACACGTACATAAAAAAGGAGCTGGATGTTCAAAGCCAGGTGAAGTGTGGCAAGTTGTTTGCTTTTTATCAGCAACAATAATATTAGGAGACAGCTGAGTTAAAAGAGCGACTTAAACGCTATGAAGAGCAGAACAAAATTGTTAAGGAAAAACTGTCTAAGGCGCAACAGATAATCAGGGAGCAACAACAGCATATCGAAGAGATGAAGCATCAGGTGGGTTCTTAACCCTAAAGGATAGTGAGGAACTATAAGACAATGTTTGTCAACAGGGTGAAATTTGCTGAAGTAATGCAAAATATTATGTAACCTTATTTATAGCAAATTCAAGATCCCGGGATTCAAGTGAAGCAGCTTAAGTCATCATGCAAAGTGAGACTTTTACAAATGGATTGCTGTTAAAAATAATATAATAATCTGTACCCCCTAGCTTACTGTGAAGTGCAATAATAAAGGAAAAATCATACCAGGCAGAATGTCAAGGGGGTCTTCAACAACAGATGGTCGATTGGCTTATTTTACACCTTGGGGGGGTTCAAGTGCTATTTATAGCTATGATTGGAGAACAGATAAATGGGAAGAACTTCCTTCATGTCCTTGCCGTAACGCAGGACTAGCAATAATTGATGGTGCATTAACAGCCGTAGGAGGAATGAATGCATCTTCTAAACCTAGCAACAAACTGTACACACTACGACGAAAACGATGGAATGACTACCTTACAATGGGTGCTGCTTGTTCCTCCCCAGCTATAGCTAGCACAGACAATCATGTGTTTGTTATCGGGGGAAATGATGCAAGCCATGATATTTCCACCATTAAAAGCTTTGAAATTAAGAGTAAAAGATTTCTGAAACAAACACCATTACCACAAGCATTAGCCAGACCTTCAGCAACCATATGTCATGATAAGCTACACGTCATAGGAGCCAATGCCATAGGATTTTCTTGTTCACTTCATGCTCTGGTATCGAGTGAAGAATGCAAAGTTACATCCCTTCCCCAGCTACCAGTGATGGCATCAACTGCTGCTAGCCTCTGTGGACAATTAGTTATAATCGGTGGAACACCAGGAAGTACTGCATCATCCACTAAGGCTTCAGTTAATTCCATTTACCAACTTATGGATGAGCAATGGGTGGAGATTGGCACTATGCATTTTGGTCGAAAAAGTTGCTTTGTAGTGAACACAACACCAGAAAAACTTGTTGATAGTTGGTGGACGAGACAAAGTAAAAATGTTAGACAGTATTGAAGAATGCACTGTGATCCAACGATAACTGATGACACTTCAAAATGGCCAACAGCATCTTTCAAAGAATTCATCGACTTAAAAAATGTGCTTTGCAAGGGCCAAAATTGCAAAATCAATGCCCCCCCCACGAGTATAATTAGAATTATGACTCAATGTATCTCCTTAAAACTATATTTGATGTATTGCATCATCCAGTTTCCTATTGACTGCGGATAATGCGGTCAAAACACTGCTTGCAGCACTGTTACACATATACTCTAACGTGTTACTTTACTCAGAGATGAAACGGAAAAAATTGTCTATGCTGTGTCCGTGTAGTGTGTTCTCTTCAAGACCATTTCTTGTGATAATATGTGACACTGACTTTACTTAATGCTCCTTAAAACAAAGCAAATCAAAGCACTAAAGTGCAAACCCTCGGCACACTGCGCATGCACTGTACTGCTGATTAATTAGCAGTACTACACATGCGCAGTGCACAAATGGTTTGTACTTTAGTGCCGTTTATTTCATTGGGTGACCACGTGCAGAACACTGCACATTCTAGCTCGTGAATGATTTTGGAACAGTATACACGACACATGAATGATTACGTAACAGATAATAACATACACAGTGTACCGTAAGCAAGTGATTACATAACACAAGGTGCCAATACAGCATAAACGCAGCTCGCTATGTAACAGTGCGAGCTGCGTTTATGCTGTATTGGCACCTTGTGTTATGTCCCCTCTTCCACATGCACACATGTGGGTGGTACACGATTCTGTTGTGGATATCTTCGAGGTGGCTAGCTACTCAGTTGGCAGGTGAGGGTGGTGGATGCGGTGATTCCCAGCATGATATCTAGTGTTCATCAAGGCCATTTGATTGGGGATGCATCTCAACTTTCGAACTCCAAGTAGTCGCTGATAACGGCCGACTCAAAATTCCTCCCGTCGTCCGAGTACAATTATTCAGGTGAAAACCAGAGAAAGAACTCGTCTGCTAGTTTTCTAGCGACTGTGGTTGCCTGGCACATGCCTCTGCATAGCGAGTGAAGTATTCGCCACCACAAGGATATACCACGTTCCCAGATGGTGACTATGGGATTGGACCAAGGATACTAATTGCGACCATCTGTAATGGGTAGCTGGTCACAATGGGCTTTAATGGAGCAGAGAGACTGGCTGTTGGAGTTCCATTGTGCACAAGTGATGCATTTGCGACACCTATCTCTCCACCAATTGTCCACTCGTGGCACCTTCGTGGAGATCCATGATTACCTCCTCATGTAATGCCTCAGGGATCATCTGAAGCCACTCTGGAGAGCGACCAATAGGCTTTAACCATCGGCAGAGAAAGCCCTGATGTATGACCAGCTGGTTCCACATTTGAAGGAGACAATGTACTGACTTGTTCATGATAGTGAGCACCGAGTTTGGCGCCTTAGTGGATTAGCATCAATTGTACTTCGGTATTACACAGCATAAACTGGTGTGTAGGTGGCTGCATGTACGCAGGTGGATGAAAAAGGTTAGATGTAGATGGGTCTGAGGGAGTTTCACGGATATTCCCAACAGTAGTACGGTGGTATACACGGCAGGTAATGTGTTGACAAACCTGTACTTTGTGTCCAGTCTAATCACATGCAGATGTTGAATGCAGCTGGATTAACCATTAGCAAGCCACGGGCATATTTTATGCACAGAGCCTCCATAAGTCCATAAGAATTACACTAATTATGGCTATAATACTAGGCGTTATACATAACTTTCTGCTTATTTAAGGAGATACCCATGGCATCCAAAGGGTTAAGTGGTTGCAATCACAGGCTATCTGATGTAGATACTGCACTTTGAACGTTAGTCTGTCATGGGGTTGGGATACGGAGCAACGTTTATGTGAGCCAAGTGTTCCTAACCGATTCGGAAAAACAAAGTAGGAAAAAACTGTTACAATATTATTCACATAATCTAAACTTCTTTTGGGAGGTTGAATACCAGAGTAATCCAGCCTAGGTGTTTTGCCTGGATCTTCTTCCTGGGACTGTTTCGTGTCTAACATGGTATTCAGAAGAGGAAATCCAAACAGATTTTGGCACACAAGATAGATAGATGGTTGTTCTTTGGGCGCCATTTACATATATGCACAGAGCCTCCATAAGTGCATAAGAATTATATATATGACTATAATACTAGACGCTGATACCTATAGCGCCCAAAGAGATAATACTCACTTCCTAACTTGCAGAGTTATTGTTTGTAATCAGATCGCAGCTTGCAAAGTCAAGGTCTGGTATGTGGAGTATTTAGGGAGTGATATAATAGTGCTACTAGTGCTACTAGATATTGTTACAAGGTCTTATTTGGCTCCATTCTAGAATAGTTGCTATAACCGTGGTGATCTTCACAAAATCTATAGTGTTAGTTTTCTAGAGTCGTGGGGTCGGCCTTTTGGTGGTTGTTCATTCCCTATTTAAGAGTTTAACATCGTTGATATTTCTTGTTTTTGGCATACTTTTGCCAGGATTTTGAAAGTAAGATGTAGAAGATGCGATCTCCAGCTATACGGAACACTTTTGGTGATGATACAGCCCAAGACCCACACTGGGAAGTCTCATGTTTAACAATGCACTTCTTGCAGACTTATTGTTTGTAATCAGATCGCAGCTTGCAAAGTCAAGGTCTGGTATGGGCTAGGGCTAGGGCTATCGTTACAAGGTCTCATTTTGGCTCCATTCAAGAATAGTTGCTATAACCGTGGTGATCTTCACAAAATCTATAGTGTTAGTAGTTTTCTAGATTTGTGGGGTCGGCCTTTTGGTGGTTGTTCATTCCCTATTTAAGAGTTTAACATCGTTGATATTTCCGTTTTTTCCTTGTTTTTGTAGTTGGCTCTTGTCGTTAGTCATGATTGTTGGTTCGTGAAAAACCTCTTTCTGCTTCGAGAAGCTTTTAGCTATACGTATTTCACAGCATTTGGAGATACACACTTGTCTTGCTGAATATCCAGCACTTAACTTAAACATTGATTTTTGGGGTGTGTTAGTATGTGTGTGGGTTGGTGCGGGTGTGCGCATGCCATAAGTTTTCGCTGATGTCAGCAACTACTAATACTTGACATACAAATCAACTAGGTCAACTGCTATATTCTCATTGTAAAAGCACATTCTCAGCTCAAGGTCATCAGTAGTTGCCTGACTGAGGGCTTTGGAGAAATATGGAGGATTGTGGAGAGAACAACATGAACTGCTTGAGTGACAGTCTTCACCGTCCCACAGAGTGTCATTGGAGTGGAGTCTGAGCAAATCTGTACTGTTCTCATACCCAGGATATATGTACCCAGACTCACAAAAGTAATCTTCTCCAACAAACGGTGGGATAGATACACCACCACTAATGTCACAGGGACAGTTATAGGTTCTGGGTTCTGTAGCATTCTCCCATGCTCCTTTAGCAAATGTCCAGATGTGTTGTCGAGGACTGCCATGCATTACAGCCACACCACTAACATAGGCACTGTCAATTGTGTGTCTATCAACATTATAGCCCCAGAAGGCAAGAGGCACCCCATACTGGTAGGCCCTGATCCTACCACACACCTGACTGTATGGTCCTCCACGGACAGGGAAGAAGACTGAGTCACAAGTCCTAGGTCCGCTACTAACTCTACCACAAGTTCTCTTGGAGTATCCGGTGAGCTGCCAGCCAGAGCGACAGTTGGTGTTGTGGTCTGTCATATCAAGATAGACTGCACGTCTCCAACCTCCTGTACCTCCACAAGTGTAAATAGGAAGTTTATTGATATTGTCACATATCTTGTTTGCTGTGCTATTGAGACCACCTCAGAACCACTGAAATCATGTGTAACTGAATTATTCAGGGTATTCAGTCCAGTTTCAAGTTTCAGAACCTCTTCTGTGAGATTATCAACCCTTTGACTGACGCTGGCTAGGTCAGACTTCATGGCCTAAGTCTCTCTGCATAGTTTCCAAAGCTGGTCCTATAGCTTCATACACAGCTGCAGCGACACGAATTTTTCTAACCAGCATATTATTTTAGCCCATTTTACCAAAATTTGTGTCAACTTGTGTACAAAAAGCCACAGCATGAGCCTGTTTGAAAGCCAGTGAAGCCTGATACTGATGAAGCCAACCAAAGCAGTCAAAAGCAATTATTACCAAACCAGTGTCGTCCATTGTTGCCTAGGGGAAGTATTACACATTCACCATTACAATACTCAGACATTCTAATACAAAAATTTCATGCTACTGAGTAACCAACACCATCATATATAGAGTCCAAGTGGAGTTGAATTAAAGGGAATGTGGCAGTATAAATGTTACTAAAAACAACAGGGACACGGTGAAAGGATGCTTGCTTTTAGTAACCTTTAGCCCCTATAAGAGTAGCACACCAGGCAACAATATAGGGATTGTGTGATGGGGTTGGGGGTGTCAGCGTGCTCAAATCTGTTCATAAACCATGCTTCATGTATCCCATCCCTATCTTGTCTCCCTTTATTTTTATACCATCCCTATATGCCTCTTTTTTAAACTCGCAGGATTTTTTATTTACTTGTATTAGTATACGTTTACTCGTGATCTCCCGCTAGTAGCTCGCAGAGAGTCTGACACTGGCTTGAGCTACAGCAAGCAGGAGTCGATACACGCACATCGTTGTGGCTTCTTGTGCCTCCGAGGTACAAAGAGCAAGCGGATCAGGTCGAGGTAAGCCAGTGCTAATTAGCATATTGGCTTGTTCACTTATTTTTCACGCCATAACTTCTGAACGCGGCACTTTTACAAAAATCCACGAGTCAAAATCCAAGGGGAAACCCGTGTGTATCGTTGCTTGCGGATATAAACGGACGCTGAAGCAGCTAGAGCGGTAACAGATACACACACACACAGACAGACAGACAGACACACAAGACAACTACAGTAACCCTCGCGCATGCGCACCGAGGGTTAATCAGTTAATGATCGATGTGGACATGAATCACATTGTAGAATGTATGTGTATTGTAAAAACATGTGTGTATAATGTTGAGCCCAACTTGAGCCTTTTTCTAAATTATATAGAGCGAAGGACAGTATGCAGCTACTTGACGTACAACTCAGCCAGTTCCACTGCTATGTTGTCATATGTTATGGAGTCCAAGAGACACATTCTCAGCTCAAGGTCATCAGTAGTTGTCTGGTTGAGGGTTTTGGTGAAATATGGAGGAATGTGGAGAGAACAACATGTACTGGTGGAGTGACAGTCTCCACCATCCCAGAGAGTGTCATTGGAGTGGAATCTGTACCAGTCTGTGGTGTTGGTGTACCTAGGAAACACGTGCCCTGACTCACAGAAGTAATCCTCTCCAACAAATGGTGGGATGGATGTTGTCACATGGACAGTTCCATACTTGGGATCCTGTTCTTGTTTCATTCTCCCATGCTCCATTAGCAAATGTCCAGATGTGTTATCAAGGACTGCCATGCATTACAGCCACACCACAGACATAGGCACTGTCAATTGTAGTTTGTGCACCATTGTTATACCCATAAAAGGCATCAGGTACTCCATACTGGTAGGCTCTGATCTTACCACACACCTGACTGTATGGTCCTCCACTGACAGGGAAGAAGACTAAAACACAAGTCCTAGATCCAGTACTAACCCTGCCACAAGTTCTCTTAGAGTATCCAGTCATATTCCAGCCAGAGTGACAGCTGGTGTTGGGGTCTGTCATATCCAGGTAGACTGCACGTCTCCAACCCCATGTTCCTCCACATTTTGACCCTCCACTGTTATTAACAATCTGTTCTGTCAGGCTCTTGTTCATTCTCATCAGTTGAGTAGTAATTTGATAGTCATGTTCATCAATCTTGTCACATATCACGTTGGCTGTACTATTAAGAACATTTAACCCTCTCTCAACACCTCTGAAATCATCTCTCATTGTTTCATTCAGAGAACTAAATCCACTATAAACTTTCTCAACCTCTTCTGTGAGATTATCAACCTTTTGGCTGAGGCTTGCTATGTCAGACTTCATATTCTTCATGTCTTTCTCAATAGTCTCCAAACCTGGTCCTATAGCTTCATACACAGCTGCAGCAATCCTCACAACTGCAGCAAACACATGAAGGGCATAATAATTGTGATGCCAAGTATTATCTATTCCCTTACCATCACATTGAGACTGTCCTAGCTGTACGTTAGACAGTGTCACTAGACACAAGACCAGCAGAAACAGTCCTTTTCATCTCTCAGTGATTCCAGGAGTTGACAACTAATTTAACAGCAGTAAACACTGGCAAAAGTTATATCTGTCTCAGAGTCTGGCTCTATATAGAGGGAAATGCATCAGATACTCTGTATATAACTGATTAATGAATGGATGGTGTTTTTGGATTTTAGATATTAGGATGTCTGCCAAATATGCTTTCTGTTACATTTATTTGACAAATTATATTTGTCCAGTTCCATTAGCTCATTATTTAGTTACAACTAGTCTGAATACAAACAGCACATCTCTTTATAGCTATGTATAACATTATGCTACCAGACTCAAGGCTCTGTGGATTAGTTTTAGTCAAAGAACAGGTACCAAAAAGTCAACACTTCCTGGCACTGCACTCGCTTCAATTCACTGCATCGCCAAATTTCTTAGTACTCAGTTTTTTGGCATAATATTCTCATGCAAAAGCAACAGCCAAACTTAGATCCTCAACTCTTCTCCTCTCTCTGTGACTATGTATGTACAGCTCACCTTGAGGTCCTCAGGGGTTACCATGGAGTGGAACTCTCTCGTTGTCGGACATTTCGTAGCTCCATCTTCGAACGGAGCGGATGAACTTGACTGCCCCGATCCCATTGTTGGCTATCAGGACCTTCTCTGTCACTCTCTTGCCTCCATAGCGACGAACAAACTCTCCAGGCGTAGCTACCTGAAAATTCAGGGAAAAGAGAGAGAGGGAGGAGAAAGGAAAGGAATTATGAAAGGTGTAGCTACGCAAATAGAACCGCGCAGGGTGCTACGTTCTTCACGGAGTGAGGTACGCAACGGGAAACGTACTGCGGGGTCGTCTTTGGTTTTGGAGGCTCCTGAGAGCGTACGGCTGTGTTTCCTCTCGTTCATGAGGCCGCGCGCACAGCCTGAGCTCCCGGAGCGAGCCACGGACGGTGGAGAGCGGTTGCTGGCGGGTTGGAGCCTGCAATAGAGGGGCTCTAAGTTTAGTTAAGTAGAGAGGGAGAGCTGTCCCTGCGGGGAGCTTTTGTCGATATTTCAAAAGTCAGCCAATTTTCGTTATTTTCGGACATGTGCCGCAAAAACCACGCGCATGCGCATACTCAACTCCTGCAGGACTGTGATGATTTTTCTCTCTACTGCCAGCTATGCTAGTAAACGACATTTACACAAAACACAGAGCCTGAAGGTAACTGTAAATATTTGTTTTCAGTCAGTAGCATACTTGACGTACAACTCAACCAGTTCCACTGCTATGTTGTCATATCGTATGCCCTCATACAGACACATTCTCAGTTCAAGGTCTTCGCTAGTTGTCTGGTTGAGGGTTTTGGTGAAATATGGAGGATTGTGGAGAGAGCAACATGTACTAGTGGAGAGACAGTCTTCACCGTCCCAGAGAGTGTCATTGGAGTGGAAGCTGATCTCTGCAGCATTATTTCGGTGCCCAGGAAACACATACCCTGACTCACAGAAGTAATCCTCTCCAACAAATGGTGGGATGGATGTAGCTCCATTGTCACATGGACAGTTCCACGTTCTGGATCTTGTATCTTTCTCCCATGCTCCATTAGCAAATGTCCAGATGTGTTGTCGAGGACTGCCATGCATTACAGCCACACCACAGACATAGGCACTGTCAATTGTAGTTTGTCCACCATAGTTATACCCATAGAAGGCATCAGGTACTCCATACTGGTAGGCTCTGATCCTGCCACACACCTGACTGTATGGTCCTCCACTGACAGGGAAGAAGACTGAGTCACAAGTATCGTATCCAGTACTAACTCTGCCACAAGTTCTCTTGGAGTATCCAGTGAGCTGCCAGCCAGAGGGACAGTTGGTGTTGGGGTCTGTCATATCCAGGTAGACTGCACGTCTCCAACCTCCTGTACCTCCACATGTGTAAACAGGAAGATCTTTGATCTTGTCACATATCATGTTGGCTGTGCTGTTTAACCCTCTCTCAACACCACTGAAATCATCTCTCATTGATTCATTCAGAGAACCCAATCTGGTTTCAAGTTTCTCAACCTGTTGGCTGAGGCTTGCCATGTCAGACTTCACATTCTTCATGTCTTTCTCAATCGTCTCCAAAGTTGGTCCTACAACTTCATACACAGCTGCAGCAATCCTCACGACTGCAGCAAACACATCCAGTATTGTGCAGGGCAAAATTGTGGTGCCAAGTATTATCTATTCCCTTACCATCACATTGAGACTGT